TGTGTGTAGGGATGAAGGAGCGAGGGATGAGAGAGAGAGAGACAGCTACAGTAAGAGAGAAACTGAGAAATCACTTTCCAGGGGGATGGCCACACTGCAATCCCTTCTCCTCCTTTCTCCTCCTAGGATCTTGGGCACACATGCCTGGCATGATTTTCAAGCCACCGAGGCCAGGGCTTGAACCGCGGTTGGCCATGTGGGAGTCCAGTGACATAAATGTTACACCATCTGCTGGCTCCAGGAAATATCAATTTTATCTTAAAAAGGTTGAGAGAGATCCGAAAGTTCTGAAGTATACTAGGTATAAATATATAAATTATGATTTTATACACAAACACACACACACATACACATACCACATATGCTAAACCTGGTAAAGCAGTGTGTGTGAATTGATCCTTCAGTATGCTTTCACATGGGCAAAATGACATATGAACCAAAGTTTTTAGTTGCAGCACTGTTTCAAATGGCATAATATTAGAAACCACCTTAGTGTCCATGACTAGGGATCACTAGGGTGTCGTCAAATAAATAATGAATGGTACACGCATACCACATATGTCTGCTTCCTCATTCCTTGGAATTTCTCATCCACGTTTGTCTTTAAATGCTGTGTGTGTGTGTGTGTGTGTGTGTGTGTGTGTGTGTGTGTGTGTGTGCGCGCGTGTGTGGTTATCTATGATTCCTTAACTTTATTGGCAGCCATTCTCTCTCCTGAATGTCCTGACTCAACTACAGCAATATGTCTGCTTAGATATCATGATCTGCCTTCCCTTGGATGTTGAAACAACATCTCATACGCAACATATCCAAACTCTTGATCTTCCTCAAGTTGGACTTTTCTTGACAGACTGCGCCATCTCAGTAGATAGCAAATTCCATCCCTCTGCCCACTCAGTCTGAAAGCATTAGAGTCATCCTCCCTTTGTCCCAAAACCAGTTGTCAATTGGTGAAGAAATTCTTTTTGACCTGTCTTCAAATTCTATCCAGAATCTGACACTTTTCACCACAGTGGCTGCTACAATCAGGGGATACACTCCCACGGTTTTTTTTTTCTTTAATTTTTTTTTTGTCTC